AGGAGCAGCAAGAATGCTTGCACCTTCCCTTATGCAATTTGGCGATGATAGTTATAGGAACTTGACTTGACCAATTTAGGTTGTTGTAGCTCTTTCTTGGTCTTCGGAGGTGCAACCTCTATAAAGCCCACGCCTTACTCATGTCTACCTCAATTCCCATCTTGTACACTATAAATCCCAAAAAATCCCCATTGTTACTTCAACAGATTCATCTTTGGCTGATGAACACACATCCATTAAAAAATAGCCTATAGATTGCTCAGGTGTTTTTCCATGTCCTATGTCTTGACTAAAATGTTGTTAATAAACACCTTTACGATCTTGCTGATGATGTCATGGAATATGGTGTTCATAGCTCTTTGGTATGTTTCCTCATTTTCTTTAGTCTGAATGGCATGACTCTCCATTCAAATGTCCTTATTGATTCAGGACATCAAAAGGCAATTTTTTGTCAATCCTCCTTAGCAATGAAGACCTAATGGTACCCTGTGTTTTCGTTTATGAACAATATGATGACATTCATGGCCGTTGCATCCACGAGTTGATTGGCCAGTGGCATGACATATTTGTCTTTTGGAGTTGCTAAGTTGAGGTCACGGTAGTCGCAGCATACCCTAATCTTGCCAAGTTTTTTCTTATCCAACACCACGTTAGACACCCATTCCATGTAAAGGTCACCAAAATGCACTGGATTGCAAGAGACACTTGATCTCTTCCTTTACCAGTAGGGTTATTTCTTGGGACATCAACCTCGAGGCCTCTTTGATTGGCAATTGGTGATCTATTCAGGCCGAATCTAATCCTGGCATTTCTTTTAACTCTAGGAAAAATAATCTCGATATTCTCTTAGTAATTGTATGAGCCATGTGATTGGAAATTTGGCTCTAGCAATTTACTGATAAAAGTTGGTCCATGTTCATCCGGCCCACCAAGGTTGACTTCATGCAACGGATCTTAAACCTCAATTAGGTTGTCAAGCTTGGTTGGGGTGACACTAATTTCATCTAACTTGATGAACTCTAGGGAGGCGGTTTGTCCAAACTCTTCCTCCTCGCACTCTACTATGTTAATGGGGCCTTGATGTCACGTTTTCTCATTTTTTAAGATTCTTAGAGTCTCACTTCCTTAACCACCCTATCAAGTATGGAATCACACATACTCTTTCATGGGCATCAGATTGCTTCCATGTGTCACTCTCAGATTTTACTATTTTTGGGCATAAACAAATGTTGAATCTTATAGCCAACTACAACATTGACCCAAAAACCCATGTTTTAATTCTCTGTCTAGAGATCATATATGCTACATAGCATAGGGATTGGGTTAGATCTTGACCTACCTTTTTTATTTCTAGGGGTCATCTAGCCAACTTTTGAGGAGGGTAGAATACATGATGGTCTTAATTTTTTGTTATTGATTACTTGGATCTTCTAGGCAAAGAGTGTAGTTACTTTGCCTAAGAAGAGGACGCAGAAACCCAAAAGGCATCTCAAAAAGAGATATTTGAAGTCAAGTAAAGCTCAAGCCGAGTATGTTGTGGTCGAGGAGGAGAAAGAGGATGAGATGGAAGTTCCACATGATGAGATTGGACAAGTGCACCACCATGAGTACACCCACGAGCCAATACTTCTAGTGCACTACCATCTAAGTTTGGTTATGAAATTGGGGCTACCTAGTTAGATTTTGTAGTTGACATGATTAGAAAGAGGGAGAAACACAAGGATAAGCATGAATGATTAACCTCTCAAAGGTTAGATGTCATATATATTCGAGTTGTGAGCCTAGAGGATGCCCAAAAGTCTGGTTTGGGATCTATTGGATGTAGAGTTGGGTGACTTAGGAAGATGTTGTAGGGCAAGAAGAAGGAAGGAGAGCCAGAGTCTGACGACAATGATGAGTCAGATCTTATTCAACCCCGATGGAGTGGACCACGAGATGATGGTGATCATGATGGTGAAGATGATGATAATACAACCACCTGAGCTATTGATTTAGGAGACTTATGGGACCATATGGGAGTTTTATAAGTGATTCATCTATTGATTGTCTTGCACTAAAGTACTCTAGTTTTCTTTTGCTTATTTTTCTTGTTAGGTGACATAGTTTGAGTCTTGATGCTTTATTGTTAGCTATTATTTTTTTAGACTTGACGTTATATGCCTTGTTTTGTCCCTTTTCCAATTCCATATTTCCTATTAATGCTATGCTAGATCGTATGTTTGATTATCTCTTTTATACCATGTTTTTCTACTTTACTTATTATTATGATTTGGCACTTCGTGACAAAAAGGGGAAGTTTTGTAATACCCCAATTCCATATCAAAGACATTAACTAACTACACATTATCCAAACCCCGAGTGCACAATAATTACTATAAAATAAACCAATGGCAATCATTCGCATCATCTAACTAAACAAAATCCCAAATGAAACACAAAAAAAAGTCCTTTAGCTCACATCCAAAACCAAAAATAAAAATCTAACCACTAGCTATTGAAAGCAATATTCCAACACATTCGTCCAATCAACCACAATTTAAACTAAAGGAAACATCTCTACACCTCCACATCTGGATACACGTCATGATCCGCCTCAGCATGCCAATCAACCTGCTCACCTAGGGTTATGTCATCCTCAAATCCAAAATTTGAAAAATATATTTATTTCATTGGGTGAGCAAATAAGCCCAGTAGGAAACCTTCTCAAGCCTAAACAAGGTTTCAAAATAATTAAAATAGGTAAATCTCATTTGGTAAAATAACATATCATAATTTGAAGTAAAACAAGGACAATTAATGAGATCTCAAGTTTATGATACAAATAGTAAAGTTTGTAAAGAAAAAGAAATAATTCTAAAACTAATAGTTGATCACCATAAGTATATCTCATATACGTAGGTAGAGTAGCATGAATAAACACATCGAGTATATTCTAACCTATGCACACACAAACAATCATCCAACCAATCCTCGCAAGGATACACCACTTTAGGAAGGGCATATACTAACACATCAGCAGTGATGAATCATTCCTAGGAATAGTATAGTAACCCTTCAACCTCGATCCCAATGGGCAAATAATGCTAATTCTTGAACCTTGCGAGGAACTAAGGAATTCCACTATGAGTGATAGGGAACCTTCAAGCCCCTCAAGGTAAGAAACACATCCATGCACTTTGCGATATACGATTAAATGTAACCCACATTCATCACAACCACCAATACAAGACATAATTTCAATAATTTTCCATAAAATCTACATATAATCATGAATCACGGCTCCACAATTATCAAACTAGAATAACTTCAAGAAATCATGCAAAGATATCTCCAATAACATCTTTAAATTGATCATGATCAAGAACTAAGGTTTTTGCATCAACAACATAAGATTTGTGATATAAAACATGTTATTCTTCCAAGAGATGAATCATATTATCGAAAAGAGTGCAAACACGTTGTAAATCTATCATATATAATTGAATAACAATCAAAATATATGTGAGTTATGTTTTGTTTTGGATTATGAAAATTCTCCTTGCATGTAACCTATGAGTGAAACAGTCACTATAATTAGAGGTTTTCAGTTCTAAGAGTGCAACCTTGGTAATATTTGCATTGAAGCAAGAATTGGATAGCTAATATAGATGCAGATGTTGTTTAATAAATTTCTTAAATTGCACAATCATTTCACACACACATGAGTTTCTAATATTAATATGAATGTGAATACTTTTACATAACATTTAAATCTCTAATTTAGCTTTTATGTGAATAATTTGAGTGGATGGTGAATTGTCTTTAAATTTCATTGTTAATAAGAATATAATAATATGTTTCAAATTTATGGATAAATAAAAGGAAGTTTAAAGGTATCTTCTTTGAAAACCTCTCCGAGACAAAACTCCTCCACTAGGGGTAACATAATTGTTTAATGACGAATTGCATACACTAAATGTGATCGTGATCCTTACAAAAGTGGTTTTGTGATTTTATTTATGTTTTGTGTTTGCTAGGGAATAGCAAAGCTTAAGTTGAGGGGTGTGATGAGTACATAATATTGCATGATTTTATGTCTCAAACCATTCATCTTTCCTTTGTTTATTAGTTATACATTTAGTTTTAGTTTAGTTGTGTGTTATGGAGGAATTCATATGTTTGTAGGTAGTTAATTCAATGTAATGACGATATTTTACATTCATTTTGATGCCTTGGAGAACATAGGAAGTGAGCTAGGTGAGCCAGATATTAAACCAGGAGCATCATGACAAGAATTCATAAAGAAGATAAGTTGTACTGGTAGGTGTTCTAATGGTTCATCGGGCTACAAATAAGGGTTCTACTAGTAGCAATGAAGTTCTACTAATTCATATGAATTCGAAGAAAATAGAATAAATTTCTACTGGTTCATCTCTATTTTACCTATCAGTAGCATAATACAAAGGGTAGTTCTACTGGTTGCAATTGTTTTCCTACTGGTAGATCATAAATAGAAATTTTCCTACCGGTAGGTTGGACATGCTTTCTACCGGTTCATTAGAGATCAAATTCAACGAGAAGTGCTCTTTCCAAGTGTTGACCAACTGAATCTTCAAGGATGTCTTCCAAGACATTCCAGACTTTATTGGAGGAATTCTCTTTTATTTGTTTACTTAAGTTTGGATTGCAAGCAAGGTTTTTCATTATTTTCTTTATAGTTTTAAATTTTGTTGAACATTATGGTATTTTTAATTCTCTTTTATTGTAATTTCTTTCAATTCTTGGTTTGAATATTATGTTCTCAATTCAAGTTTATTCTCAATCTAAGTTTTGTTTATCTGTCAATTATCATGTCTTCTTCAATTGCTTTTAATTTAATTTTCATTATGTTTGAGTAGATTAATTTCCAGGATGATTGGATGAGGAATTCTAATCCATAAATGGGTAGTTTGATCTAACTCAAGTTTTCAATGTTCAAGGTTATTTTATTAATTGAACAATTAATTTTTGGAAAATGATTGATATGTATATCTCCTTGCTTACCCGTAGACACTTAGGTTTGACATAGATAATTCTTGGAATCATTGCAACCAACATGATTTTAATTCTTTCACCAATTAATTCAATCAATTTAAATACATATTCACTGTTTTCATGATTTTAAGTTGAATATGTTCCATTCAAGGGCTTTTGATCATAATCTTGAATGAGTTATAAATTAGGTCAAAATTTTTATTTACGGTGAGATAAACTTTGATGATTAACTGGCTTCTTTTAATATTGTTTCTCAGTTTCTCAGTTTTAATTTTGTCATCATTCAAATTTGTCCTCCATTTTCCCTGAGGAGATGATCTTGATAATCGACCGAGTTACTAAACGATACATTCTTGTGCTTGGGGACCTACTTTATTATCTACCCACTTTTGAGGTCAAGCACCTGGCTTCCATGCTTGATGCGTTTCTCCCTAATCTCCAAATAGGATCCCATTTGTGTATATATGGCTTATACAAGTTGGTGAGAGTCATTCTCCCTCGGGTTCAAATGCTAGAAATGGGGAAAATCGTGTGTCGATGAACAAAAACGTGTGTGTGCAAAAGTGCTCTCCAAGCGTAGAGAGACTTACAATGTCGTGTTTTACTTAGAATGAATATTCTAAGGTCATTTTCTCAGGGAAGGTAGGTCAAATTGTTGTGCAGGGTGATTTGTAAAGAAATGAAAATGAGAAAATCTTTTGAGTTGTATTTTGGTGAGTGGTGTATTGATAAAAATGCAAGAAAGTAAGGTTGGCTAATTCATAGGAGTCTTTCCAATGGGAATGTCAAATCAACTCAATTCATTCAACCAATGGTGCCTAGGTGTTTGATTGATTCGTAGGAAGTGAGGGACTAATGTGAAGGTGTTGGACTCAAGCATACCCCATGGCAAGTCTATAATGTATCAAGAGCTCACAACTACGTCCACACTCAACCTAGTCAAACCAAACACTTTACACTACGAAGAAGAATGGAGGGGAGTTGATTTCACATACCCAAGAGATTAAATTGAAAGTAATAAATATTGCAAGTATTTTAAAGCTTGCTAGAATGAAAATGGTGGAGGAAATGTATAAATCCAACTTTCTCTCTCTAAAACTTCATCTTCTTCCTTGGAGCTTCTCTCTCTAAATTTGTGTAAAAACCAAATCATTGTGTAGCTTGGTCAAACTTCATCCATACCCCTTTTATGGTCTATGAGAACTAAGTTGCAATGAATGGGAAGAGATTGGACACTTCAACAAGGACAAGCCAAGCATGCACCTCCCATACTTCACCAACCACCCATCTTCTCTCTCTTACCCCTCCCATGATTTTCTCTTCCAAAATCTGACTTTAGGGTGTAAGAGACCAACATGGTGTGTCAAAGATGTTAGGGTATGGTTGGGATGACAAGAGGTGGGCCCCCAAAGTAGGCAGAGTCATGTGGAAAGGTGTTTGGCACTTCTGGGCAAAACCTACTAGTAGAACATCAAAAACCTACAAGTAGAAAACTTCTAGTAGGTTTTTCTACCGGTAGGTTTTAAGGTTTTAACGGTAGGTCTTAAGGGGGATGCAAGTTCAAGACTAGTTTTTGTAAATTTGTCATAAATTTTGATCCCACTATCCAATTGAGTTGAAATTTTGACACAAGATAGAGGACATCCAGATCTACAATTTTTATTTTT